AAACGGTGCTGGAAAAAGGCAACAAATAGAAGATTCAAAACATATTCAGTAAAAATCAACGAATGCATACATCTTAACATGCATTACATGTCTTAAAGAATACAAGAGAAAATGTGAAAAATAATATGTAAGCCAACTGCTACACTAGCTTCATTTGGGTTTTCTAATTAGCATGTCCAATAATGCAATAGTTTTCCATGTGTACATGTGTCCAAAACTATGCATCGCACCGATAGAATTGTAATACATAACATGATCATTGAAATACTCATGGAATATTGTTATGGTATTTAACCTTATGTGTAGCCACATGCAAAATAGAGTATGATATTTTACACGTGATGTCTCTGTTGGTTTCACTGCCGCCTGGCACTGTTTCCTCAATTTCTTATCTGCACTGCATAAGAAGGGCTGTTTCACTTTAACTTTCGGGTGAAGGTTGTGAAATACCTAGAAAAAAAACAACGAAACATTATATGTGATATATCAAAAGTGCTGGAAATAAGACAGAAATTATAGTCCATCGAACTGGATTGGTGCCCACATATTTTGCAAAAGATTTTCTTAAACTACTTTACAGTATTTGACATTCAGGGGAGGTCGGGGGTGTTGAGGTCTTTCTGTATGATATTTGAATATAGGAACCTTCCAATCTCTCTTTCCTAGGTCGACTTGCACAAAGCAATCTTAGAGCTAAGATGATCTAACTCCCATACTTTAACATAGGCTTACATTAGTTGTAGTGCTAAGATCGCTTTGTGCAAGTGGGCCCTGGAGAGGAAATACACAAGGGAAACACAAGGGAACAAGACGGTCTTGTTGTTTTTTTCATTGTTGGTCAAGTAATAAATCTTCAAAAAGGTATGTGCTTTGTATGTTATATTTACATACAAATGCTTTTGATTTTCGACAGTGGATTTTTCAATGTGACAAATGTGACAATGTCACAGGATAACACTTTTACACCCCATTTGTTTCGAGATTTTATACATAAAACTGACCCTATAATATGCAATGTTCTTGCATAGGAAAGACTGCGACCAACTATTTATACAACTTGCAAATTGGCAGTATTCAAACATCAGACCAATGATTGGAAACGAGCCACTGTCATACAGGGTTTGAAATTATGAAATTTTCTAATCGGTGACTGGTAAAATCAGGAAGGACCAGTACCATATCATTGTGTTTTACCATTAGGTACATGGCAGTAGATCATTTATGTGAACTGGTGAGAAAAGAAATTAATTTCTAACCCTTATATATGCATCACTACATTAATGGACATTCAAAATATATAAATGTAAAAGCCTTTGAAAAAAGGGTGTATTTATTCCTTGAGGCTATACTATACAATTCAAAGTAAATGCTGAAATCACATGTGGTTCATATTTTTATAATTTATGTAAATTGTTTTAAACTACATTAGAATTGTGTGTCCGTGTGTTCTTCTTAACTAGAATCACATGAACTTCGTTACATGCCATGGGAACCTTATTTACTGAATGATGATATTTTGTGTGAAATGAAAGCCTACAAGATAAATTGTCATCAATGCAATGCATGTGTCTTTGAGCAAAACAATTCGGACTTTTAAAGACATGGATGTGTTATGACTTCCTGATATTATTTAGGCGTAAAATTCAAGCTTAATTTGTTCATAACCTAATCAATTTTAATTTGCAGAATACCGAGATGCCTGTATAGTTGAACAGACAGAGTGAAAATGCTGAAGATCGTGTACTAAGCGTCACCTTCACAGTAGCTAAATTGGTTATAATCTGTCCTTAGAATGATAATATCCCTCAAACAACCCTATTAAATCAAACATCAATCTGGTGTGGTAAGAAGTTGTTGTGACACACGAAGCCACGTGACGACTTTTGACCATGACCGCCTGTGTCGCCAATATTAATTTTGTGAGTCATTTGAATTTTAGGATTTTTGCAATGATTGACAGTGTACGTTCACGCGAGTCGACAATGTCGTACCAGTCAGTCAGAATTCTCACGGAGCGTCTTTTGATACCAAATTTATAAACACGAGTCGATCAAATTTAAAAACGTCGAGGTAAGTGTTCATACATTTGGTATCAAATAACAGGAGGGTGTGATTACATTTATAACCTAAGATCATTTTTCTAACTATTTGAGTTTGGAATAGCAATTGGTGGGTGTCTGCTTCAACTAGTTCGGACTGATGCCGGTTGTAAGGTGCAAGCCAACTGAGGTACCATTTCACGGTTCAACAACGAATATCTCACCCAGTCGAAGACCTAGACTCCGAGGCGATCAGGAGATGTTACCTGAATATAATTATATCTCTCCTCTAGCAATGAGTCTCCATGCCACCTGTGTATATCACCTCTTCTCCAGCAGTGAGTCTCCATGCCACCTGTGTATATCACCTCTTCTCCAGCAATGAGTCTCCATGCCACCTGTGTATATCACCTCTTCTCCAGCAGTGAGACAATATGATGCCTACACATAACCTCTCCTCCAGCAGTGAGTCTCAATGCCACCTGTGTATATCACTCTTCTCCAGCAGTGAGTCTCCATGCCACCTGTGTATATCACCTCTTCTCCAGCAATGAGTCTCCATGCCACCTGTGTATATCACCTCTTCTCCACCAGTGAGACAATATGATGCCTACACATAACCTCTCCTCCAGCAATGAGTCTCAATGCCACCTGTGTATATCACCTCTTCTCCAGCAGTGAGTCTCCATGCCACCTGTGTATATCACCTCTTCTCCAGCAGTGAGACAATATGATGCCTACACATAACCTCTCCTCCAGCAGTGAGTCTCAATGCCACCTGTGTATATCACCTCTTCTCCAGCAGTGAGTATCAATGCCACCTGTGTATATCACCTCTTCTCCAGCAGTGAGTCTCAATGCCACCTGTGTATATCACCTCTTCTCCAGCAGTGAGTCTCCATGCCACCTGTGTATATCACCTCTTCTCCAGCAATGAGTCTCCATGCCACCTGTGTATATCACCTCTTCTCCAGCAATGGGACAACATGCTACCTTTCATAACTATGTAACACCTTCAACAAAGAGCCAATGTTAATTGTACTGCTACTACTAATTCTTCTTCTTCTACTACTACTACTCCTGCTGCGGCTGCTGCTGCTACTACTACTACTACTACTACTACTTCTATTTATAATGCGGACCTGGCTTTCTAAATGTCACGCCTGTATCCCATATACAAAGTTGTCCGACTCCCCTTTTGTCCTTGGTGCCTTAGGTTTGGTATCTCCCAATCTGTTGAGTGACATTGGGAGAGTAGTCGGTTTTTCTACCAGGAATACAGCCCTTCTGACAATCTGGGTAATGCAGAAGGCTGCAGTGTTGGGGAGTCTTCACATTCTCTGCAAAGTTCTGAGTGGGTTTCACTAGGCAGCGCTTCCTGGGAGAAGTCCAATTCACTGTCTGGGCAGCGTGTAGAGGGGGCGAGGCCCTGGGCAGCGTGTAGAGGGGGCAAGGCCCTGAGCTGATGATGCCAGACTGCCAGGATCATCCAAACATTTAATCTTTACATAATAATTATAATGAGGCTGTCCCGAAATGTCACGATTGCATCTCTAGTAGCAAGTTGCTGACAAAAGAAGACTTGGCGTGGAATTGTCCGGCAGCAGTACGAATTTCCGCTTAAATGTGTTTTAGGTGCGACGCCAATTCTTCTTTAGGAAGTGTTTCAAACTTATTGGATGTTGTGTCAGATTGGCAAATATTGTATTGTGTCTGTGGGAATAATTTATTAATTTGTTTTGGAGAAAATATTGTTTCAGGAGATAATTTTATAAAATATGAATATAGATCTAGACTGGAGGCTATTTAATTCAGTTGGTTCGTGACAGGCCTCCTAAGGAAATTGTAAACGAAACTCGGGTAATCATTGTAATCTGTTGTTTTCGCTTTTTCAATCAGTCTAGACGTTTATCTGTTTTATCAGTTTTAGTCGTCCTACCCAAGTTCATTTTGTCAACACCGATTATTGTTGTTTCTTCCTTCATCGGCATTGTTGGTGCAGATGTTGGTTGTTCATTTTCTGGGATAGAGCTTTCTGTGAATTCTGATAATAAGTGAGGTGAAAAATGATTATGTACTTTTATTACCTGATTATGAAATATTTACAAAGATATTTGAAAATGTGATGTATTCATAAAATAGGCTTACACATTTAAGCAGACAATATTTTTGTTCGATTTATATATATTCACCAAGTTGTATTATGCTAAATTTGCTCGGCTTAATTCTTCTGAAATGTTTTGGTTGGCGAGGATAGAGTTAAACTCATCATCACTGAATTCTGCCAAGTCCGGACTATTGACATCGGACAAATTACCGATTTTAAAATAAAAAATCCATCACGTCTGTTGAGATGATTTCAGCTATATTGGTGGTCAAACGGAAGTAGTGCGACTGTGCTGCTTTATAAGTGTGCAGAGAAGCGGTCATAAAATCGGACGCATTTTACAATCCGAATTGATTACGTCTAATTTTATTGATTGTCCAAATTCGAGTATTCACAACATCATGTCTGTATGGGTGAGTACCCGGGTTTGCTGTCAGGAATACAGACCTTCCGACTTTCTTGGTAATGCAGAAGGCTGCAGTGATAGGGAGTCTTTTCATTCTGGGTGTGTGTGACGAGGCAGCGCTCCCCAAGAGAAGTCCCATTGGGCTGCGTGTAGAGGGGGGCAAGGGCCCTGAGCTGATGACGAGCCTAACCAGCCTGACTGTGCCAGGATCACCCAAACACCCTTTGCTGCATTTTTTTATTTTAATCTGTGAATAAAAAAAAATCATTACCACTTGATAAACAAATTATAATAAATAGTATTGTCGCAGATGAATACAGCATGGCAGTGACTGAACAACGTTTGATCAATATAGGCTGACGTCAACTATCAGTGTAAGAGTCGTAAGCAGCTAATCTCTGAAAGACATTAAATATGTATCCATCATCAGCCGTGCTGGCAAGGAACCTGGGTGTGTCCAAGATAACAACTGGCCATTCAGCACATCCAAGTGTATCTTGGAGACGAGTCTTGACGCCCGTGATTCACACAACTTGGACAGAGCATTGCATGTAGCCGAAGTGCCTTTCAGTCGAGAAACCAGCTTGAACTTCCTATGGACATGTTGGCCCGATACTGGACAGTGTGGACAACTGCTCTGTACATCTGTATAGCCACTGACAGGGGCATAACTGAGGCAAGATGTAATGTGCATGAATTCCAACTTTTAGATGCCGACTATCAAGGGAAGAAGATTGACAAAACGATAAGACGACGTGGCACTGCGACGAGTCTGCTGAAGTGTTTGTCGTTCTGTAACAAAGACATTGTGAGTACGCCATTCTACAACCAGGACACCCAAGACTGTATCTGTCCCTTGTCTCGCCCCAGAGACTGGCTGCTGGTCTCTGGACCCGGATATGTGTTTTACGACACCCCAGGTGAGAAATCTCGATTACTGCACCTCATAGATTCAAATTGATGGGATAACATGACTGACATGTAGCGTTCTGGTGTTCAACATTTGTGACATACGTGGTGTCGGTTCGTTTATTCCGTGAACCTTATAAGCTGCATTGTCAATTTGAACAGAAAACTTTCACGTGTTTGAAGTTGACTGAAGCAGACTTTACACCGAGGCTGAAACAATACAATACAAATCCTGATAAGTAGGTTGGAGTGAAACCTATTTTATTATTTTTAACGCCAATACATGACCAAAGTATTGATCTGTTTAAAACGGGTTGCAGAGACGTTTATCTGTATCCGTGTTATTGTTGGAAGACGGCGAGAATATCTCCGAGATACATTTTGATATTGAACGGTGACAAAGCCAATGTCATTCACAATTTCATTGCATAACTTACAGTACTAGTATTGAGTACATCTATGAGAGGAGGCCTCGTACCATATTCACTTGTACCTAATTTCAATTTTTGCAATACAATTTATTTAAACAAACAGTTATGACTCTTGTGAATAAACACATGGTTCTTCAAAACAAAACAGTGACAGTTGCATTGGTATTAACAACAGTTATGGTGGACACGATTCCAGGTCGAAGGGCGAACAATAAAGATTGTTCTTCACGAATTATAATTATTGTGAATGAACAAGTTATTATTCACCATATATCATTATTGTAACTGGACAGATTGTTCTAAACTAAATTTAATTATTGTAACTGGACAGATGTTACTTTTTTACATTTGTGTAAAATGTTAGGGTGAAACATGAAGGGAAGAAGTAGGCATCCCCATGGGCACCAATTTCGTGCCCCTTCTTCGCGTAGGTGTCACGTAACAAACAAGTATGTATGAATCACGTAGCAAACACATACTTTTTGTCACGTCCCAAACAAACACGTAGGTGTGACGTAACAAACAAATATGTATACAACTCGTAACAACGCAGCTGCACGCGGGGTAGTTGTGTATGCATTTTAACCAACTCGCTTTTATTGAACCTATTGAATGATACATATTGATATATGTTCTGAGCATGCTTATTGAGGCCAGGGGGTTAATAGTCACTGACTACAAACGTACAGATTCCACCCTGGCCGGCAACGATTGAAACTGGACGTTTGTAGTCAGTTGGCTCCCTTGCCTGGGGAAGATGCTCAACTTTGAAATGTGTGTAATGTCTTGTATCTGTTCCTGGTTCTTCCATAGGCCTGATTGACGTGCAGTTACAAGAGGCGATCAACGCTTCATCAGAAGCGGATGGGTACGTGTTTGTTAGCCCTGCTAGATTAGAATATCGTATATCGTAAATTTCTAGTGTAAATAACTTAATATCAACATTTGAAAATACTCCGATCACATGGATTCATCCATAGTTTTGGAGGATTTACTCGAATCTAAATGCGTAATCTCAAGTTTCGAGTTTCCAATGACCCACGCACGTGCTCAGTCAGAGACATACATACGAATACCCGCACAGACACGCGTACGCACGCACGCACACACACACACACACACACACACACATACTCCTTGCATACACACATGCACTCAGACACTAACGCACGTACTCACATATGCACATACATGCAAGTACCACGCCCATGATCATATACATACTCGAACGCCCACACAGACACACGCATGCATCTTCGCAGAATCGCACATAGACCGTTTACAAACCCAGATACTATCTGATGTCATACCAAAAACTAGGGATGTCTGGTTAATTATTGTTCAACATAATCCCCCCGAGGTCCACAGACTTCTGACAACGAAGCTCGGGGTGGCCTGGATCCCACTGGTGTCGCCAGACAGTCTTTCTTCACGTTTGGGAACAAGTGGCAATCAGGCGGTGCTAATACTGGTGAAAAGGTTCAATGCATGAATTGTATTGGTGACAGAAGACCTGTGTCTCCCAAACGTATTAATGGATATAACCCATCAAGCGAAAATGAACCTGGAGCGTTTCTGATCAGGAGTCTTGGAACCAAGCTTGCAGAAATCTTTACTTTGAACAAATAGGGCGAGGCCACCACACCCCGTTTCAAGGGACTGCCCTGGTTGAGAGGGAGTCCACTATACCTCGTGTCAGGAGGCCGCCCTGGTAGAGAGAGTCCACAATACCTCATGTCAAGAGGCCGCCCATGTAGCGAGAGTCCATCATAACTCGTTTTCAAGAGGACGCCCAGGTAGAGAGAGTCCACCATACTCCGTGTCAAGAGGCCGCCCAGGTAGAGTGGAGAGAATCCACCATACCTCGTGTCAAGAGGACACCCAGTCAGAGAGAGTCCATTATACTCCGTGTCAAGAGACCACCCATGTAGCGAGAGTCCACCATACCTCGTGTCAAGATGGCGCCCAGGTAGAGAGGTAGAGAAAGTCCACCATACATCGTGTCAAGATGGCGCCCAGGTAGAGAGGTAGAGATAGTCCACCATACCTCATGTCAGGAAGGCGCACAGGTAGAGAAAGTCCACCATAAATCGTGTCAAGATGGCACCAAAGTAGAGTGAGTCCACCATACTCTGTGTCAAGAAACCACCCATGTAGAGAAAGTCCACCATATCTCGTGTCAAGATTGCGCACAGGTAGAGAAAGTGAACCATAAATCGTGTCAAGATGGCGCCCAGGTAGAGAGGTAGAGATAGTCCACCATACCTCGTGTCAGGAAGGCGCACAGGTAGAGAAAGTCCACCATAAATCGTGTCAAGATGGCACCAAAGTAGAGTGAGGCCACCATACTCTGTGTCAAGAAACCACCCATGTAGAGAAAGTCCGCCATATCTCGTGTCAAGATTGCGCACAGGTAGAGAAAGTGAACCATAAATCGTGTCAAGATGGCGCCCAGGTAGATAGGTAGAGATAGTCCACCATACCTCGTGTCAGGAAGCCGTCCAGTCAGAGAGTTAGTCCACCATACTCTGTGTCAAGAGACCACCAATGTAGAGAAAGTCCACCATACATCGTGTCAAGATTGCGCACAGGTAGAGAAAGTCGACCATAAATCGTGCCAAGATGGCGCCCAGGTAGAGAGAGTCCACGATAAATCGTGTCAAGATGGCGCCCAGTTAGAGAAAGTCCACCATGCCTCGTGTCAGGAAGCCGTCCAGTCACAGAGAGAGTCCACCATACTCCGTGTCAATATGGCGCTCAGGTAGAGAAAGTCCACCATAAATCGTGTCAAGTTGGCACCGAGTCAGAGAGAGTCCTCCATACCTCGTGTCAAGATGGCTTCCTGATAGAGAGAGACCACCATACTCCGTGTCAAGAACCCGCCCAGGTAGAGAAAGTCCACCACGTCACGTGTTAAGAGCCCGCCAAGGTTGAGAAGGTCTACCATACTCCGTGTCAAGATGGCGCCCAGTTAGAGAAAGTCCACCATGCCACGTGTCAAGAGGCCGCCCAGGTAGAGAGAGTCCACCGTAACTCGTGTCAAGAGGCCGCCCAGTTTGAGAGAGTCCACCATGCCTCGTGTCAAGAGGCCGCCAAGTTAGAGTCCACCATGCCTCGTGTCAAGAGGCCGCCCAGGTAGAGAGAGTCCACCGTAACTCGTGCCAAGAGGCCGCCCAGTTTGAGAGAGTCCACCATGCCTCGTGTCAAGAGGCCGCCAAGTTAGAGAGAGTCCACCATACTAAGTGTCCAGAGGCCGCCCAGGTAGAGAAAGTCCACCATAAATCGGGTCAAGATGGCGCCCAAGTAGAGAAAGTCCACCATGCCTCGTGTCAGGAGGCCGCCGAGTCAGAGAGAGTCCACCATACTCTGTAGCAAGATGGCGCCCAGTCAGAGAGAGTCCACCATACTAAGTGTCCAGAGGCCGCCCAGGTAGAGAAAGTCCACCATAACTCGTGTCAAGATGGCGCCCAAGTAAAGAAAGTCCACCATGCCTCGTGTCAGGAGGCCGCCGAGTCAGAGAGAGTCCACCATACTCTGTAGCAAGATGGCGCCCAGGTAGAGAGAGTCCTCCGTACCTTGTGTCAAGATGGCGCCCAGGTAGAGACAGTCCACCATAAATCGTGTCAAGATGCCGCCCAGGTAGAGAGAGTCCACCATACTCCGTGTCAAGAGGCCGCCCAGTCAGAGAGAGTCCACCATACCTCGTGTCAAGATGGCGCCCAGTTAGAGAGAGTCCAACATACCTCGTGTCAGGATGGCGCCCAGGTAGAGAGAGTCCACCATACTCCGTGTCAAGAGGCCGCCCAGTCAGAGAGAGTCCGCAATACGGCAGCTCAAGGGACCTGATACGCTTTGACGACATTCACATTAATAGACACTGATGTCTGCATTACGTTAACAATGCCATTTGCAAAAAATTAACAATCTGCAGAGGGTGTGGAATGTTTCTATTTTATTAATTTCGAGAGCGAAAAAGGAGGTCGGTAGGTCGAAAAAGAATTCTGTAATCATTCTTAAAGTTTCCTTTGGGTCGGTAGATGATCCCTTGGATTTGTATATATTGTCGGTATTGATAAAGACACTGTCAATATATATGATATGAGACCTGAAGAGAGAGATGTGAAACTTGACTGGATCAAAGACACAATGTTAATGTCACAGCGGACACGATGGCACAACGACAGTGAGGGGGCTTCTCATCACTGGAAACAAGCTCACGCGAGACTGTTGGCACTTTCGGCACAATGCTGTGAATCTTTAGTCATGGTCCACAGCAACGTTGCACTGTTTTCTTTTTCAACACGATCACGTAGGACTCTTGTCAAAGGCATCTCACGTGACGTTGGGCTATTATCACATCCTGCCTAGGCACGTTGGGCAATTGTCACATCCTGCCCAATCAGTTGGGATAATGTCACATAGTGCCAAGTCACGTTGGGCAATTATCACACCGTGCCACATATTGTCACATCCTGCCAAGTGTCGTTGGACTATTGTCACATCCTTCCAATTGACGTTGGGCTTTTCTCGAATCCTGCCCAGTGATGCTAGACTATTTTCACATCCTGCCCAGTGACGTTGAGCTATTGTCACATCGTTCCCACTGAACTTGGGCTATTATCACACCGTGCCAAGTCACGTTGGGCTGTTGTCACACCGTGCCAAGTCACGTTGGGCTATTGTCACACCGTGTCAAGTGATGTTGGGCTATAGTCACATCCTGCCCAGTGACGTTGAGCTATTGTCACATCGTTCCCACTGAACTTGGGATATTATCACACCGTGCCAAGTCACGTTGGGCTATTGTCACACCGTGTCAAGTGACGTTGAGCTATTGTCACATCCTGCCCACTGACGTTGGACTATAGTCACATCCTTCCCAGTGACGTTGGACTATTGTCACAACGTGCTCAGTGATGTTGTCACAACTTGCCCGCTGACCTTGGGCTATTGTCACATCCTGCCTTCTGTCGTTGTGCTATTGTCACATGGTGCCCCCTGACGTTCGGTTATTTTCGAATCCTGCCCAGTGATTTTGGGTTATTTTCACATCGTGCGCAGTGATGTTTGGATATTGTCACGTCATGCCCAGTCACGTTGGGCTATTGTCACATCCTGCCAAGTGTCGTTGGACTATTGTCACGCCCTTCCCATTGACTCTGAGCTATTGGCACATCGTGCCTAGTGACGTCGGGCTATTGTCACATACAGCCAAGTGACGTTGCTCTATTGACACATCCTTCCCACTGACGTTTGACTATTGCCACACGCTTACCAGGGACGTTGACCTATGGTGGTGAACCTGATCACCTGATGCTAAGTGTCGTGGAGTTATTGTCACAGATCTTGAGACTCAATAGCCTTTCTCCTCAATCACAGAATAAAACAACATTCCCTCAGATCGGGAGGTTGTGAGAACTGTCAAGCAGCACACCAACACATACTGCTGCACCAAATACAGATGCACAGCAACTAATATATCCAGGTGATATATTATATCCATGTGATATTGTCACATCCTGCCCAGTCACGTTAGGCTATCGTCACACCGTGCCTACTGATATTGGGCTATAGTCTCATCATGCCCAGTTATGTCGGGCTATAATCACATCCTGCCAAGTGTCGTTGGTCTATTGTCACATCCTTTCGATTGACGTTTGGCTATTCTCGAATCCTGCCCAGTGATGCTAGACTATTTTCACATCCTGCCCAGTGACGTTGAGCTATTGTCACATCCTTCCCACTGAACTTTGGCTATTATCACACCGTGCCAAGTCACGTTGGGCTATTGTCACACCGTGTCAAGTGACGTTGGGCTATTGCCATATCCTGCCCACTGACGTTGGACTATAGTCACATCCTTCCTAGAGCGTTGGACTATTGTCACAACGTGCCCACTGACGTTGGACCGTTGTCACAACGTGCCCAGTGATGTTAGCCTATTGTCACAACTTGCCCGCTGACCTTGGGCTATAGTCACATCCTACCTTCTGTCGTTGTGCTATTGTCACATCGTGCCCACTGACGTTAGGTTATTGTCACATCCTGCCCACTGACGTTGGGCTATTTTCCCATCGTGCCAAGTGTCGTTTGGCTATTGTCACATGGTGCCCCCTGACGTTCGGTTATTCTCGAATCCTGCCCGGTGATTTTGGGTTATTTTCACATCGTGCGCAGTGATGTTTGGATATTGTCACATCATGCCCAGTCACGTTGGGCTATTGTCACATCCTGCCAAGTGTCGTTGTACTATTGTCACGCCCTTCCCATTGGCGTTGAGCTATTGGCATATCGTGCCTAGTGACGTCGGGCTATTGTCACATACAGCCAAGTGACGTTGCTCTATTGACACATCCTTCCCACTGACGTTTGACTATTGCCACACCCTTACCAGTGACGTTGACCTATGGTGGTGAACCTGATCACCTGATGCCCTGTGTCGTGGAGCTATTGTCACAGATCTTGAGACTCAATAGCCTTTCTCCTCAATCACAGAATAAAACAACGTTCCCTCAGATCGGGAGGTTGTGAGAACTGTCAAGCAGCACACCAACACATACTGCTGCACCAAATACAGATACCCATATCCAGGCTAGCTACCGATTTTAACACTCATATAATATCGGCATGATTGTGTTGAAATGTATATATTTACTCTCTCAGTCTTGGTAAATCAGAAACTGAGGGGTGGGGGTGGGGTGGGGTGGGGTGGGATGGGGACGGGGTGGGGGTGAAGGGGGTGTAGGGATGGGGAGTACACTGTCAGGTTGGCCGAGCTTTGTAATTCCTTCATTGCGAGGGCCTTGAAACACAAGAAACTCAGGAGGTTGTCGCGACATTGAAGTTGAAGTGGAAGACGTACCGTGAGCGGGTAAACTTTGATTATAGAAGCAGAATCAAAACTTTGCTCAGTTCCGGATGTTGTTCACCAGTACGTCCCCGAGCAGGCCTTTCTATTTCAAAATGTGCGTAGAGATCCATGTTGGTTTGCGATCAAAAACAGCAGACGATAAACGCTACTACAATTCTTGTTAGTATGTTCATTTGTTTTAACGCATATATGTTAAACATGTGTCTTATAAAAACTGTGTTACTTTCTTGTTCCTTGGTGGTAAGTAGGGGAGACAATCGAGAACTGTTCAACTGGGGGATTTTCCAAAAAAGTAGTTCCGGTCCCAAATTGTGTGGTTTATACGTTGTTAACATTATTTGTTGAAGTTCGGTGAAAAATTAACGGGTCATGTGAGCAGTAAAAAATCCAATCACATCACCGGAAATCCCTTACACATCAAAAAGAAAGCATTCATGAATAAACAAAATCTCCTTTAGTATATGGTAAGGGTCACTGTATGACAGGTGAATGCAATGCTTCAGGTATCCAGCACAGAATGTCGTTGGCGGGCATGCTTCTCCCTGGAAGCCAAGGTCGGATGATGCAGCCCCGTGGATTGAGGTGATTATTATCGCTCACACTGTATTGTCACTCGACAACTTCATTGGAAATCTAACCAGAACATGTCTCAGTTAGTATAGTGCCTACAACAAAATATGCAGTACAAATCTATTTGATTACAAATCTACATTTCACCTTCATATGCTTGTTGCTCAGTCCTGGGACATTTCACACCAGTAAAACATATAAACTGAAACGGAAACTGTGCGGACCGCCGAAAAACAGTTAAGGTTCTGAAGCAAGCCTGACACACGCATTGAGTAACAGCCAGGGGTATACTGTTATTTATGTGGCACCCACCTGTCAGCCAGAAGGGGTATACTGTTATATATGTGGCACCCACCTGTCGGCCAGCAGGGGTATACTGTTATATATGTGGCATCCACCTGTCGGCCAGCAGGAATATACTGTTATATATGTGGCACCCACCTGTCGGCCAGCAGGTGTATACTGTTATAAATGTGGCATCCACCTGTCGGCCAGCATGGGTATTCTGTTATATATGTGGCACCCACCTGTCGGCCAGCAGGTGTATACTGTCATATATGTGGCACCCACCTGTGATTCGATACCTGTATTCCACGTTGGGATTTTTAATATTATTCACAGTAATCATAGTTCAAATACTTACATTCAGACACTTTTACAACAGAGATGATTACATTCAGACACTTTTACAACAGTGATGATTACATTCAGACACTTTTACAACAGAGATGATTACATTCAGACACTTTTACAACAGAGATGGTTACAACAGAGATGGTTACAACAGAGATGGTTACATTCTGACACTTTTACAACAGAGATGATTTCATTAAGACACTTTTACGACAGAGATGATTTCGTCCAGATTACATACAGACACTTTTACAACAGAGATGATTTCATCCAGATTACATCCAGACACTTTTACAACAGAGATGGTTACATTGAAACACTTTTACAACAGAGATGATTACATTCAGACACTTTTACTACAGATATGATTACATTCAAACACTTTTACAACAGAGATGATTACATTCAGACACTTTTACAACAGAGATGATTTCATTCAGACACTTTTACAACAGAGGTGATTTCATTCAGACACTTTTACAACAGGGATGGTTACATGCAAACACTTTTACAACAGAGATGATTGCACTGAGACACTTTTACAACAGAGATGGTTACATGCAAACACTTTTACAACAGAGATGATTACAACAGAAATGGTTACATTCAAACACTTTTACTACAGATATGATTAAATTCAGACACTTTAACAACAGAGATGATTACATCCAGACACTTTTACAACAGAGATGGTTACATTCAAACACTTTTACAACAGAGATTATTACATTCAGATTACATCCAGACACTTTTACAACAGAGATGGTTATATTCAGACACTTTTACAACAGAGATGATTACATTCAGACGCTTTTACGAAAGAGATGATTACATTCAGATTACATCCAGACACTTTTACAACAGAGATGATTACATCCAAACACTTTTAAAACAGAGATGGTTACATTCAAACACTTTTACGACAGAGATGATTACATTCAGATTACATCCAGACACTTTTACAACAGAGATGGTTACATTCAGACACTTTTACGACAGAGATGATAACATTCAGATTACATCCAGACACTTTTACAACAGAGATGGTTACATTCAGACACTTTTACAACAGAGATGATTACATTCAGACGCTTTTACGACAGAGATGATTACATTCAGACGCTTTTACAACAGAGATGGTTACATTCAAACACTTTTACAACAGAGATGATTACATTCAGACGCTTTTACGACAGAGATGATTACATTCAGATTACATCCAGACACTTTTACAACAGAGATGGTTTCATTCAAACGCTTTTACTACAGAGATGATTACATTGAGACACTTTTACAACAGAGGTGATTTCATTCCGACACTTTACAACAGAGATGATTTCATTCAGACACTTTTTCAACAGAGATTATTTCATTGAGACACTTTTACAACAGAGTTGATTTCATTCAGACACTTTTACAACAGAGATGGTTACATTCAAACGCTTTTACTACAGAGATGATTACATTGAGACACTTTTACTACAGGGATGGTTACATGCAAACATTTTTACAACAGAGATGATTGCACTGAGACACTTTTACAACAGAGATGGTTACATGCAAACACTTTTACAACAGATATGATTTCATTCAGACACTTTTACAACAGAAATGGTTACTTACAGAGTGTGCTTGCAATATAGGTTAGCCTGCAACCAAGACACATTTAAGGTATCAAACTGTTTTCTTGTCAACAGGCAGGGATACGTCAGTTTCTTTACTTTGAAGAGATTCGAATAAACCCCTCCTTTCCTACTCTCACGAATGGCATCTGGTTCCGGGATTCCAACATGAAGTGGATAAAAACATGGACGAAGAACGACGCGGCATCTCCTACGCCCAGTTGGTTCATTCCACATTGTCAAGTTAGTTTCATATGTTTTATATGTTGAAATGTTCACAGTTTTAATCTGTTTCTTTGATTGGTGTGAGTGAGTAGACAATGCACTTTTGGGATAATCATAAGTACGGTAAAATATAGAGAAATAATATCTTGTTGAAGTAATCTAAATGCAACGTGCCACCACTTTTCAATGCCCTTGAGGTATTAACATTTTTTAAGGTGAAGTGAGAATGGAAGATTGGAAAAATAATTATACTTTTCAGGCTAGAAATGTAATTGTCGGGGTGAGATCTCTGTCTTCCCTTGAGACGATGCTGGTGACGTCTGCTTTGATAAATACGATATGAGGGAAAGTGACATCGACGCTACAACTCATTCTCGCGTCATTCCATGTTATCACTTTGTATCTGCCTGTGGTGGAGTCCAAGTCTAGGGTCCAAGCTGCGGAGGTTTACATTACTTACATGTCCCTGTAACTTAATCATGTGTGATCCCTAGGGTCAAAGCTGCGGAGGTTTACATTACTTACATGTCCCTGTAACTTAATCACGTGAGATCCCTAGGGTCCAAGCTGCGGAGGTTTACATCACTGTACATCGACCTGTAACTTTATCACGTGTGATCCCTAGGGTTCAAGCTGCGGAGGTTTACATTACTTACATGTCCCTGTAACTTAATCACGTGAGATCCCTAGGGTCCAAGCTGCGGAGGTTTACATCACTGTACATCGACCTGTAACTTAATCACGTGTGATCCCTAGGGTCCAAGCTGCGGAGGTTTACATCACTGTACATCGACCTGTAACTTAATCACGTGTGATCCCTAGGGTCCAAGCTGCGGAGGTTTACATCACTGTACATCGACCTGTAACTTAATCACGTGTGATCCCTAGGGTCAAAGCTGCGGGCGTTTACATCACTGTACATCGACCTGTAACTTAATCATGTGTGATCCCTATAGGGTCCAAGCTGCGGAGGTTTACATCACTGCATATCGACCTGTAACTTAATCACGTGTAATCCCTAGGGTCCAAGCTGCGGGCGTTTACATCACTGTACATCGACCTGTAACTTAATCACGTGTGATCCCTAGGGTCCAAGCTGCGGAGGCTTACATCACTGTACATCGACCTGTAACTTAATCACGTGTGATCCCTAGGGTCCAAACTGTGGGCGTTTACATCGCTGTACAGCGACCTGTAACTTAATCACGTGTGATTCCTAGGGTCCAATCTGCGGGCGTTTACATTACTGTACATCGACCTGTAACTAAATCATGTGATCCCTAGGGTCAAAGCTGCGGAGGTTTACATTACTGTACATCGACCTGTAACTTAATCATGTGTGATGCCTAGGGTCCAAGCTGCGGAGGTTTACAGTGCTGTACATCGACCTGTAACTAAATCATGTGATCCCTAGGATCAAAGCTGCGGAGGTTTACATTACTGTACATCGACCTGTAACTTAATCATGTGTGATCCCTAGGGTCCAAGCTGCGGAGCTTTACATCACTGTACATCGACCTGTAACTTAATCACGTGTGATTCCTAGGGTCCAAGCTGCGGGTGTTTACATTACTGTACATCGACCTGTAACTCAATCATGTGTGATCCCTAGGGTCCAAGCTGCGGAGGTTTACATCACTGTACATCGACCTGTAACTTAATCACGTGTGATCCCTAGGGTCAAAGCTGCGGAGGTTTACATTACTGTACATCGACCTGTTACTTAATCACGTGTGATCCCTAGGGTCAAAGCTGCGGAGGTTTACATTACTTACATGCCTCTGTAACTCAATCACGTGTGATCCCTAGGGTCCAAACTGTGGGCGTTTACATCGCTGTACAGCGACCTGTAACTTAATCACGTGTGATTCCTAGGGTCCAATCTGCGGGCGTTTACATTACTGTACATCGACCTGTAACTAAATCATGTGATCCCTAGGGTCAAAGCTGCGGAGGTTTACATTACTGTACATCGACCTGTAACTTAATCATGTGTGATCCCTAGGGTCCAAGCTGCGGAGGTTTACAGTGCTGTACATCGACCTGTAACTAAATCATGTGATCCCTAGGGTCAAAGCTGCGGAGGTTTACATTACTGTACATCGACCTGTAACTTAATCATGTGTGATCCCTAGGGTCCAAGCTGCGGAGCTTTACATCACTGTACATCGACCTGTAACTTAATCACGTGTGATTCCTAGGGTCCAAGCTGCGGGTGTTTACATTACTGTACATCGACCTGTAACTCAATCATGTGTGATCCCTAGGGTCCAAGCTGCGGAGGTTTACATCACTGTACATCGACCTGTAACTTAATCACGTGTGATCCCTAGGGTCAAAGCTGCGGAGGTTTACATTACTGTACATCGACCTGTTACTTAATCACGTGTGATCCCTAGGGTCAAAGCTGCGGAGGTTTACATTACTTACATGCCTCTGTAACTCAATCACGTGTGATCCCTAGGGTCCAAGCTGCGGGCGTTTATATCACTGTACATCGACCTGTAACTTAATCACGTGTGATCCCTAGGGTCCAAGCTGCGGAGGTTTACATCACTGTACATCGACCTGTAACTTAATCACGTGTGATCCCTAGGGTCCAAGCTGTGGGCATTTACATCACTGTACATCGACCTGTAACTTAATCACGTGTGATCCCTAGGGTCCAAGCTGCGGGCATTTACATCACTGTACATCGACCTGTAACTTAATCACGTGTGATCCCTAGGGTCCAAGCTGCGGGCATTTATATCACTGTACATCGACCTTTAACACAACAATGTACGGACCCTCTAAGCATGCTGACGTGTCTTCTTTACAGGTGCTGAGCGTTCCCACAGACGCACTCAGAATAACTATGGACCAAAGCAGCAGTTTTGAAATTAGGTTCATACGTGTGGCTGGTCGTAAGTAAATTCCTATGATAAGAATAGGGTGGGTCATATAGGTAAATGTGAAGATAGGGGGTTCAGGTCGCTTGTACTGTGGGGGTTTGGGATGAGTGAGAGGGGAGACGTATCAGGGACATGGTTGGTTGGTGAGGGGTGGAGGGGGGTGATGGTGGTAGATTATGGATACGTGTCCGGGATATGATAGGTTGTACGGGTAAGTAATGGATACGCGTCAGGGACATGGTTGATTGGGGAGGGGTGGAGGGATGGAGGGGGGTAGGTAATGGAGACGTGTCAGGGACATGGTTGGTTAGGGAGGGATGGAGGGGTGGGATGGAATGCGTGGTTGGTAATGGAGACATGTCAAGGACATGGTTGTTTTGGGAGGGGTGGAGGTGTTTGGGGGGGGGGGGGGGGGGGGTAGGTAATGGAGACGTGTCAGGGACGTGGTTGGTTGGTGAGGGGTGGAGGGGTTGGGGAGGTAGGTTATGGAGACGTGTCAGGGACTTGGTTAGTATGGGGGAGAGGGTGGGAGTTAGGGTGGATGGACGGTGGGAAATGAGTAAGGAAGTAGATGTGTTGAGGACAAGACGAAGAGTGAGGGGAAGAAGGTGGAGCGGAAGAGGAAGCAGAGTGAGAAGGAGGAAGTGGAAAGAGGAGGGATGTGTCGGCCCTGTGTGGAGGGTGGAAGACCGTAGGGGCAGTTCGGAGATGTGGGATATGGTAGTACGATGCAATCTGGTACAAGTCATCCCGTGATGGATCACTCAGTGTCTGCTGTAGTAAGATGCATTCTGGTACAGTCGTAGCAGAATCGTTAAAGTCGGAAACTGAACTGTCGAGGTCTTTGCATATGACATATATTTGTACTAAACGGAAGTGATATCTTTCAATCGGGATTTGGTATATTCTTTTTAAAGTACCATCGGACATAATAGAAAAAGTATTGACGTATTTCAGTTCCAAGGAGTCCGATCGGCAATTTTACTTGAGAAAACTGCGACTGTAATCTGTTAAGTTCAATTCAGCTTAGATTTATTTTCAAGTCCAAATGAGGGAAGTCCGAAACAAACTATAGAAATATACACATGCGTCTCCATTTTAGTGATAATAATGTAGTCTTCTTAAAACATCTAGTCCTGCTGTTGGCTACTCATGTTGTTGCTTTATAATCATCACACGCTACCTCCACATGCACATGGGGAGTCACACGCTACCTCCACATACACATGGGTAGTCACAGGCTAACACCACATACACATGGGGAGTCACAGGCTACCACAACATACACATGGGGAGTCACAGGCTACCACCACATACATATGGGTAGTCACAGGCTACCACAACATACACATGGGGAGTCACAGGCTACCACAACATACACATGGGGAGTCACAGGCTACCACAACATACACATGGAGAATCCCAGACTACCACCACATACACATGGGGAGTCACAGGCTACCACAACATACACATGGGTAGTCACAGGCTACCACAACATACATATGGGGAGTCACAGGCTACCACCACATACACATGGGGAGTCACAGGCTACCACGACATACACATGGGTAGTCACAGGCTACCACAACATACACATGGGGAGTCACAGGCTACCACAACATACACATGGAGAATCCCAGACTACCACCACATACACATGGGGAGTCACAGGCTACCACAACATGCACATGGGTAGTCACAGGCTACCACCACATACACATGGGTAGTCACAGGCTACCACAACATACACATGGGTAGTCACACGCTACCACAACATACACATGGGTAGTCACAGGCTACCACAACATACACATGGGGAGTCACAGGCTACCACCACATACACATGGGTAGTCACAGGCTACCACAACATACACATGGGGAGGCACAGGCTACCACAACATACACATGGGGAGTCACAGGCTACCACCACATGCACATGGGGAGTCACAGGCTACCACAACATACACATGGGGAGTCACAGGCTACCACCACATACACATGGGGAGTCACAGGCTACCACAACATACACATGGGGAGTCACAGGCTACCACAACATACACATGGGGAGTCACAGGCTACCACAACATACACATCTGGAATCACAGGCTACCACCACATACACATGGGTAGTCACAGGCTACCACAACATACACATGGGGAGTCACAGGCTACCACCACATACACATCTGGAATCACAGGCTACCACCACATACACATGGGGAGTCACAGGCTACCACAACATACACATGGGGAGTCACAGGCTACCACAACATACACATGGGTAGTCACAGGCTACCACAACATACACATGGAGAATCCCAGACTACCACCACATACACATGGGTAGTCACAGGCTTCCACAACATACACATCTGGAATCACAGTCTACCACCACATACACATGGGGAGTCACAGGCTACCACAACATACACATCTGGAATCACAGGCTACCACCACATACACATGGGTTGTCACAGGCTACCACAACATACACATGGAGAATTCCAGACTACCACCACATACACATGGGTAGTCAAAGGCTACCACAACATACACATCTGGAATCACAGGCTACCACCACATACACATGGGGAGTCACAGGCTACCACAACATACACATCTGGAATCACAGGCTACCACCACATACACATGGGGAGTCACAGGCTACAACGGCATACAAATGAGAGTCACAGGCTACCATCACATGCACATGGGGAATCAAAGGCTACCAAAACATACACATGGGAGTCACAGGCTACCGCAACATACACATCGGGAGTCACAGGCTACCATCACATGCACATGGGGAGTCACAGGCTACCACAACATACACATGGGAGTCACTGGCTACCACCACATGCACATCGGCAGTCACAGGCTACCACAACATACACATGGGAGTCACTGGCTACCACAGTATACAAATGGGAGTCACCGGCTACCATCACATGCACATGGGGAGTGACAGGCTATCACTACATACATATGGGGAGTCACAGGCTACCACAACATGCATATGGCGAGTCACAGGCTACCACCACATGCATATGGGGAGTAAGAGGCTACCACACATACATATAGGCAGTCACAGGCTACCACCACATGGATATGGGGAGTCACAGGCTACCACACATACACATTGGGAGACACTGGCTACCACAACATACAAATGGGCAGTCACAGGCTACCACCACATGGATATGGGGAGTCAAAGGCTACCACACATACACATTGGGAGACACTGGCTACCACAACATACACATGGGCAGTCACAGGCTACCACAACATCCACATTTAAGTCACAGGCTACCACAGCATACACATGGGGAGTCAACGGTTCCCTCAACATACACTTGGAGTGACAGGCTACCATCACATGCACATGGGGAGTCACAGGCTACCACACATACATAAAGGGAGTCACAGGCTACCATAACATACACATGGGGAGTCGCAGGCTACCACACACACACACACACACAATGGGATACACTGTCTACCACTACATATACATTTGGAGACACTGGCTATCTCCACTTTCAAATGGGGAGTCACAGGCTACCATCACATGCACATTGGGAGTCACAGGCTACCATAACATACACATGGGCAGTCACAGGCTACCACAACATACACATGGGCAGTCACAGGCTACCACACATACACAATTGGAGACACTGGCTACCACTACATATACATTGGGAGACACTAGTTACCTCCACATGCACATGGGGAATCACAGGCTACCACAACATACACATGGGGAATCCCAGAATACCACCCCATACACATCTGGAATCACAGACTACCATCACATACATATGGGGAGTCTGTAGAAGAAGAAGAAGTCTTTATTTGTACCAAGGCCACTGGCCCATATACAATACATACATTTGAAATAGTGTGGTACATGAAAAAAGGTAATGTCAGGTACAAATTTACAGGTTTACAGGCTTTTCATAATTACGTCTTCTTTCATAGCTGTAATACAGGTATTTACATAGTTTTCCAAGTAATTGTTTACACGAAGATGACAGTAGCGTTTTAAATTTATGCATATTTGGATTATTGCAAAATGTTGTTGGTAAATACAGATGTCTAATATCGTTGTAATATTCACATTCTAAAGTAAAATGATATTCATTCTCTATACTTGTTTCACATATGGGGCAGAGTCGTAAACGTAAGTCAATATCAGCCCATCTACCTTCGTTTACCTTAAGTCTTAGTAGCCCAGCTCTAAGCCTTATCAAAACATTTCGATATTTTATTTCAGTAATAATGGAAAGGTATTTTTCTGGTTCCAGGAGACTTTTAAATTCTTTATACAGAGTGTACCTAGAACTAGCCTTGATAGTACTATTCCATGATTGGTAGAACATATTTATCAAAACGTTTTTAAAACTATTCATGAATGATGGTTTGTCGCCAACAGCTTGACTGAGCCAAACTACTCCGAATCCGTGAGAAAATAATATGGAACGAATAGAAGAAGCATAGTTATGACGACCACACTTGTCGTTATATACAAGCATATTATACGATTTTCTTGGTATCCTATCTTCGTCCATTTCAATCAGTTTTAGCCAATACTTTACAGAACGACACATAGCATTTACATGTAGTGGGTACCGACCGCATTCCCCATACACAATAGCATTTGGGGTTTGCAAACCAACGTTAAGAAACTTCTTACAAGCCATAATATGCACTTGTTCTATTTTTTCAAATCTGTCTACACCCCATATTTCTGCACCATATAAAAGAATAGGTTGAATCTGAGTATCGAATATTTTAAAGAAAACTGAAGTGTCAACAAAACCAATCTTCCGTAGATTGCGAAATATTTCCATTAAAGCTCGTTTACCCCTTGATGCTAGATCTGAAACACATTGGTTCATCTTTGATGTATATGAGAATACAAACCCAAGATATCTATAGGAGTTGGCGGTTGAAATACGTTTGCCTTTATAGAACCATTTCTCATGAACAGACAACCGCCCTCCTCGTCTAAATACAACAACACTCGTTTTATCTAAATTAACCGTTAATCCATGTGAA